TATTTTCATAGCGAGCGGTTAACGACAAATCGCTTTATGGTGTACAATTTCTTTTTCGTTTCTTTTTTATTTTTCTTAGAATAATTTTTCTCAATTAAAAAGAGCTTAAGGCTTAAAAATTTTAGGTTTTCAAAGTTTTCCATAAGAAGAACCTCTGCCAACAAACTTTCTTCAATGAAAATGTCATTTATTCATGAGTCAAGTGCGAGCATATGTATGCATTTACGTATAAAACACATACGATAACAACAAGGCAGCGAAATCGAGATAAATCTTTTTGTGGCTACGATATCATGACTTTAGGGCGCTTTTCGTAACGTTCATTAACCAAAACACTAAAAATTTGGCAAATCTACAGACCATCTGCAGAGTACGTTTAAAGAGTATTCTACAAAGAATGCTCAATCACAACACATTTCACACTGGAACTCCCGATATTTTCTATAAGAGGATATGCATTCTTCTCAATTCATACACCGAACATTGTTTTAAGGATATATTAAATTTGTGCGAATGCATAAAATACTCAGAAGAACTAGACATAGCCGTACGCTACTCTATGGGCTAGAGGATTCCTCGAATTAACCCAATTCTATCGTCGCTCTAAATGCACCATGTGTTCCAAAAATTCGGATTATTCCGCTCCTGATGATATCCAAAGTATTTGTTAGCGGATTATTCCGTAACGGCTTAAAGATGCCAAGCGACCATGGCGACTGTGTTCCAATTTGTTTTAAATTTCTGAGAAAGAATTGTTATTTTAATTATAACTTTTTTATTTGCTTAATAACTTCAATTCAATAAGTATTATAAACAAAAGCTAGATTCTTTTCTATGAAAATAAATAAAAGCTATATTCTTTTACGTCAGAAAAAATATAAGTTAGATTACTTCAAAAGCTCAGAAAAGTTCTCCACGTATTCATCCTGCTGTACGAAATTTTTAATTGAAAAAGAAGCCATAAGGGTCCATGCTTTAGTTCACCAGGTAAATGCCTTCACTATGCATATATTATTATTTCATCATCTTTTCTTCTTTATAAAAAAATAATTGCCAAAAATATGTTTTTAATTTTTTAATTATTACTGTGATGTTTTCCCTCAGTACACTCTTGCATTATTGTTTCCCTTTAAACAGCCGAAACTGTTTCGTACAAAATTACACTGAAGGACTAAACATTTTAAAATTATTTTATGTTTTCAAATATTTCCTTGTTAATACATTAGTAAAACTGGGACCGCGCCCCACCACGCTACAGCTATTCATGTAACGACTTCTCAAAATAGGGAAATGGTTAAAACAGTGATCCGATCCGAACCTTTTTCAATAACGTTCCTCCTTGGGCACAGCAAAGCCAAAGCAGTGAGTCAAAATTCATCAAAAGATCTAAAAACTTGGAGTCTGTAGTTGGAAAAAAAAAAAAAAAACAAGAGGATTAGGTGGAAAAACGAAAAGAAAGACAGATGGATAGACAAGCTTAGATCGATTCAGAATCTGTTCCGAAAGCGATCGACATAATAAAAGGTGAGTATATCTGAAGGCCTTCTGGATGCAGTATGCACCCGCACAAACGTGTTAGAATATAACCCAGTACCGCAAGTTGTGTAGCGAATAAACATCCGAAATTTTTTACTCACCTTTTAGTTGTCTATTATTACAATGTACTTTCTATTCAATATTTTCGCAGTTATTTGTATTAATTAAAATTGTAAAAGTTAATAGTGAATACCTCCATATTGTGAATAGTGAATATCTTCAAAAAAAACAAGAAAAAAAAAGAAAAATATAAAATTACATTTTATTTTTTAAGATTTTTTAAATTAAAATTATTAACTTTTTTTAGAAAATTTTTATTTAGTCGATGCTTGTTTCCAATTTTACTTGTTAATTACTTTCGAAATTTTTTGCATTAAAACTTAATTTTCTGTCAGAAAAACTTGATAGACGGAAACGACGTTATCTTGTCTTCAAAGTACAACGTTTCCACACTAAAAACAAACTTTATTGAAAGTACGAAAAAGTAAAAATGTTTTGGTTAAAATTTTCTTTTTAACTTCTATTAAAATAAGGGCCAAAAATTTCTTGCCTTAGTTAACGAGATATACATAAAAGAAACTAAAAGTGAAAGCATCAATAAGTCCTCTGTGAAAACTTGTAATATGCTCTTTTTCTTTTCTATGGTATGAAGGTAAATGCTGCAATTTTTTCTTCATAGTCGTTTTTAATAGGGATCGGGGAAAAGCTTTGTTTCATATCTTTAGGGAGAAGGTTTTTTAACGTCACTACTAGAAGTAGATCAGTTTCTTCAAACGCGAATGAATACACTCACCGTGTACGGTCCTATGAGCACACAATACCTTGCTGTCTTGAAACAAATGAATCTATATTAGAACGATACTTACTTACGATACTACGCTTCTGTACAAAAAGTGCAATTAAGTTAAAAAGAAAATTACTATTCAACGAAGCTGCCTGTTTGAATTGTTCATTGAAAATTCAGATATAATTCGTGTAAGTTTCTACGTTATTAGCTTGACCTTGGGCATGAATTGCAATCAACTTCAACATCTTCAAAGAGTGATCTAATGTGCGTTTCTTGACTCAACCGGGCAAACTTCAGGTTTTGCCTACAATAAATTTTTTATATTTTCAAGAATTTCTTATGCTTCGCTGTTAATCGAACAAGACTATTGTAAAAAGAATAATCCCACGAGTATTTTTCCAGGAGCGGTTTAATGGTTCACTTAGTCTTTCAAAAGTAGATATGTCAAAAAATTAAAATAAATATGAAGACCTAACTTTAAAATAAGTAACTGAGTAAAAATAGAGCTCTATATCAAAAACTTTCCTAAAATAGCAAAATGTTCGAAAAATATAGCAATGGGCTGGGCGGAAGGCTTACAAATCAAGTTAATTGGAACAATAAAACGATCAATTCTTGAATCAGGAAAGCAATGAATTAAAATTTTCGCAACTCATCATGCCAGCAACGAGTTTTGATCCAGGGAACCAATTAAACAATCAATGAAAATATTCATGCCAACGGACAGAAAGACGAACGATTTAACAAAAAAATCATTTGGGTTATAATTGCCAATAAATTGTGTGATATGGGGTCCCATAAATAGACCGGTTTGATCCAAATTCTCAAATTACTGCTGGAAATTAATCTTCATTTTCGCCCCATTAAGATTTTGTTTTTCACACGAACGGTTATGTGGAAGACGATTAAGAAAATTTGGCGAATTTATTCAAATTTTTAACGTCAGTTTAGCACGCCAAAATGACAAATATTACTCAATAATCTTGTTTGCAGCGATTTCCAAAATTGCAATTTTTTTTCATAAAACGACGTTTTCAAAGTAAGACATTGTGGTTGTAAAAACCTGGTCCTAGCCAATTAATTCACTTTCAAAATTATTCATTCTTAGGTTAAGGCAGTTCAGTGTGTTAAATTTGTCGAGGTAACTTAAAAATTTGAAGGTTGTAGAAAAAATTAAATGAGTAGACAGCCTCGAAACCGACGTACAAATAGGCAGACAATTTTACCTTAGTTCAGAAAATGATTCTGAACCGATCGGTACAATGAAACGAGATTCTATCGTAAGTTCCTTTGGGTTTTACATATATCTGGAAAAACTTAACATACCCTGATTTAAAGTAAAATTTACATATGTAATCAGCATAAGGAAAAAAAATACAAGTGCCTCGACGATGATGATTCGAAAGATCTATAATTCAATTCTTTGCTGATAACACCGAAATGTTGTAATGTTGTAATGTAATTACAATCTAAGAAAGTAGCCTAAGCCTCCAAGGAAAAAAACAATTAGAAAATTTTATGTTATTAAACATAAAAAAGGTTTTTGTAAAATTAATTATGTATTAACAAAAAAAAGGAGATTTACATTATGAAGGAAAGTACGCGCGAGCATAAATTATGCAAAAAGCATTCAAAACAAAAAAGAAGTAATGTATACGGCTATCGTCGGCACTTTACCTGTTTGTGTAATAACTTGCGTATAATATTTAAATGAACAATGGAGACAAAATCCAGTCACTTGACTTGTTGATCGCAAGTCCCATTGTATATATTGTATATCGTATATATTTCAAAAATTATTTATACTTGGTTCAAATTATAAGGAACTCGCATATTAGCTTGTGTGCTAACTTCTTTACAATATTTCCGCCTTGACCCTAGTCTGACAAGATTAATATGAAGAAATTTGGAACTTAATCTCCTTCTTCCTGGACAGTGTTTTGACATCGTAATCATTTATTTAATTAAGTGGAGAGACGAACGGCTTTAAATTAATTCTGTTATTCTTTCTAATCAGTAACATATGTATGCCTTATGCTTTCTTTTTTGTGCTTCACAGACGTGGCCGAAATTTAATATCCTCCCCGTGGTGAATGTAAAAAATTTCCCTCCAAACTTATAATAGACAACAAAGCTTTAAGTGCATTTACTTTAAAGACGTGTATACTGTTACCAAATCAAAGGTCGACAAAAAGGTCGGCATAGCGAATTCAAACACTGCTCCCACGGGACCTTTAATTCGGAAGCTGTATACAGTTTTAAGCAAAGGAAGTTGAGAAAAAAGAAAAACAAATACCTTCATAATCGCTTTTGTGTTATCAATTGGCTTATTTAACCTTATGAAGGATTATATTTTCTACATATTTTCTTTCAACGTACTGCAGACATTTAGTGTCCTTATTACGGCGTTGAGCAACATGTTGCTCTTGATTCATACATTTACTCAAGGGTGTTGAATAACTATTACTCTCATTCTATTGCTCTCTTTCTTTCTCTCTATTTTTCTTCCGCTAGGGCAAGTGGTGGATTTCTGTTGAATTCACATGGGTTGTTGCATTAGTTTTTTTATTTCACTTTTTTTTTGTTTTTTTTTCTTGTTATTGTTGGCAGTTTGCGCATATACATACAATCGTGTAAAAGCCACGTTTTACACAATATTTCGTTCAGTCTGCACAGGATTTCGTTGTAAACGTACGCAAATCAAGAATTTTTAATTGCACTAAAATTTTTCAATAGAAAATTAAATTCAAGCCAACATTTTCCTGAACAGAAAAGTATTTAAATTAGTTTTAAACTAAATATATATATCAAAAAAATCAAAATATTTTGTTTAACAAAAAAAGAAAAATTATCTTTTTTATTACAGAAAATAACCAGGAAAAGTGCAGTGAAATTTACAATTTTTTTAAATCAAAGAGGAATTATACATTTAAAATAAAAAAAGAAACAAAAAAAATTTTTTTTAATTAATTATAAAGTTTAATAAAATATTTAAAAATACTTTGTAAGTACGAATTATTTTAACTTTTATATGAAAAGTAAAATTCTGGTTAAAGCAATCTCGTTTTTTTAATTGAATTTTTAGTTTCATGTAATTTTTTTTGCTTTGTTTTAATTCCTACTTTTTCTTGTGATATGTTTATATCACATTATATGTTTAAGGAAACTTTCCTTTTATATTTCCTAAAAACATTTAACATTTCTCAAATATTTTCAAAATGATTTAATAAATTCTTTCTAAATACAGAAAAGTTAATTTCATAACTTTTTCAATTTTTTGCACAAATATTGTCATTATTATATAATCATAATACATAGCATGGTATCATTATTAAAAGTCACCTAAAATCTTACGTAACTAGGCCAGCAAAACTGGATTTATAGAATTATTGACGCTTGCTTTTGCAAGTTTTTCAACTATGATCATTGTTTTTTTTTTTTTTTAATTCTCCGAACATCTTAAACTCCTTTTGAAAATATTTTCTTAAGAAATCTATTAAATAAACGCATGTATATAGTAGTCAGACAACACACCGTATAAGTAAGATGTAGATAATATTAAAAGTATAATAAAAAAATATTCGAATAGCATGACTTTAAGCTATTTCTTTATCTACTGGGTTTAGTTATATAAGTAAACATCCGGAGATATTTAATATCGTAATTTTATATATATACTTCTATAATTTGTGGTAACTAACAATTCTGTCGAAATATATTTTCTTCCTTTCGTATCTACGCTATTGAAATTCTCAGAGGGGCAAAAATGGTTATAGAAAATTAAAACTTAATGCGTAGTTTTGTTGGTATTTCGAAGATTTTGTTTAGAAATATATACGACTTATCAAAAGGAGGCGTTGGTCGAAAGGTGCTTCGATCCGAACCACGTTTGTTCTTAAGTTGGGGTATCAAACTTCATCAATGTATGTCAATAATTTCTACCTGCCGGTTGAACACACACATACGTGGAACAACATTGGACGAACAAATAAATAGAAAGACAAGCATAGATCGGCGTGATAAGGGATTTGTCTATCTATCTTAATTGTGATAAATGAAATTAAAAAATATATATAAAATAAATGATAAATATATATAAAAAGATAAATACATATAAAAAAATAATAAAATATCTGATATTAATCGCCACAAACTCGGACAAAAAAGTTTCAAAGTATTTTGCTAATTGTTGGTGTGGTATTTGGTCTAGAACCATATTCGCGTTGACCGTTTAGACGGCTCGATTTTATATGTAATAACTTATTTTTCCAATTTCTGCATTGAGTTCATACAGGATCTACAGCTTAATTTATTAGATATATGTTAACCAGGGTTTTTTTTTTATCAATTTTACAACTACAAGCATAGGAAATGAATAGTCGGACCGATGACAGAGAATTTTAAGCTAATCAAATGTATGGAATGAAAAAAATTTTCTTTTTGATAGCCTATACTTTACAAAAAACAACAGTACAGAGGAATTTCGTAAGCATACACATCGACAAAAATGCCAAACTTTATGAAGCAGATGTTGGTTTATTAATATTATTATTGCTAATATCATCTTATTGCAACAGATTCCGGGTAGCTTCTATTTTCAAGTTCTTAAAGAAAATTCAACTTTTCTTTACTCAGTTTTCTTGGCAAGCAATGTTTCTTTAAAGGTGAAAGTTTTCTTACCGTTTAAACAACAACAAAAATGGAAAGAGCTCTAAGAATTTAAAGAATAAATGTGGGACAAACCATCATTGACAATATATTGAGTTGTAAACTAAATTTTTCTTTTCATCAACTAATTTAATAAATTTAACGGACTAAACAATGGGCTTCAGCTTTATTTGCAAATTTCTAAGCTAATCATATTTGTAGCTCTCTTTGAAACTTCTTCTGCGTCAACCTTTGAACTCTGACGCTAACACGGGGTCAGTTTTAAGTCACGGAAGCTGAACGTTTCTTTGATGAATTCTTTAAATAATAATAATAAATAAAAAGTTTGCATATCGTTTCTCCTTCCATCGTCATCTTAAAAAATGAAAAAAAAACCTAACAGAAGTAAATTGCGATATGTTGCAATATTTAACGCACGTAGCGCATGTTTTTTCGTATTTCTAGGGTTATCCATGAAATATGTGTACAAATTGTGAGCTTTATATCTGCTATAGTTTAGAAGTAAAGAGTAAAATATTGTTTGTTTTTGAAATTAGAGACTCTCTCGGTTAATGGTGCGCGGCACGCATGCATTCGACTGCTTTCGCCCCTATATAATAAAATCCTGAATGCCAAATTTGAAGGCAGTATCCTTGTTCTTACAACAGAAAAAATGATTACCATAGACAGACAAATATACATTATTGCTCCAAAAAGAAATTGTTCCGATTGCTTTGAGTTTTTTGAAACTTTCATTAAGAATACGAACAAAATATTTATAATATCGTGAAAAAGTCGAATTTTTCATTTAACCAGTTAACCTCGTATAACGAAAACGCGTCATGGAAAAGGTACAACATTTTGTGCTATGACGAATAGGTATGTTATTATACGTCTATTCGTCCTTGCGGGATTTTTTCATAAAATTTTATCATTATGAATGTGTATTTAGTTTAATAAGGCATTTTGGAATGTATGTCATTATGCCAAGCCACTTCATCGCAACCTAATTCCATAATGCACATGCTCTGTGTACGTCGATTGTAATAATCATGGGTAAATTTTCGCGGCGCATTTTAAATATACATTTTTCAATAAGTCGAGACATTCACCAGTTAAAATTCATGGATACAATAAAATTATAAATTGTTTTTTGTGGTTATTGCCGTTGACATCTTCGTGCCTATTTTTGTGCCTACCTTTACGCCTACCTTTAATTTGTAAGCAATTTCATACGTTTTCTTTTCAATTCGCTAGTTTGTGCCTACGTTTGTGCCTATCTTTGATTTGTAAACACCTATGTAAAGTTATCTGTAAATGTTTTCAACAGCTGCAAGATTGCATAACACAACATTGCAACATAAAAAAATTAGTTTTTTGATATTATGACTGTGAAGTATGAGTGCCAGGATGTTATGAATCGCATTATTATCAAAAATGAGACTTGTGTCTGCACATACGATGTAGAAACAGCTGACCAATCGAGCGAATATCGTATAGGAGAGAGAAAAAACACGCCGGAGTCGCTTAAAACTCAAAGTCGTGTTGATAAATATCCTTAATTACTTTTTTGGACGGCTCAAACTATTAAGAACGAACATTATAAAAGTGATGCTATGAAGACAATGAACGCAATGCTAAAATTCATGTATGTACGCACATATTGCCTGCCCTCATTTTCGATTCATTGGATTTTCTGTCTCATTTCGATTCTCTTTTTCTCTTTCCTACAATCTCTTTTGTTAACAAAAAAAAATTTAATTATTTAACGCGTTAAGGAATTAGTAACAGATGAACGTTTGTACTGAATGATAAGTGGTTTTCCACTTAATTGGATATTTTGATCAAAGTATAGCTTTGTAATAATTAGTGGCTTCTCTAAATTTAGTTGAACTCAGCAAGAGCTTAATTTAAAAGCAATACACATGATAAGTATATATGAGTTAGTAATTCAATTTTCTTATAGGCTTTGTGTGTAAAGCAATTTCATTTCTGAATACGGGATCATAAGGAGTTTGGGAAAAACAAAATAATACGAACCAATTACTTAATGTAATAACATTTCATGTGATTTCCTAATGAATATTTTGCTTTATTAATTTATTCTTTAATGGTATTTGAGAACAGAAAAGGACGACAGTGAATGTTTTCAGTTTAGAAAGGATAATAACTTTGAGGGCGTCAAGGATGAAAAGTGAGAACTTATGAGCAATTTTGCAGATAAACTGAAAGGTTATGTTATATATTTTAAGCATTTTCGATATACAATGATGTTTGCTTAATATTTAACCAGAAACGTAAAATATTTTTCTAATGATTTTCATAAATATTGGTTTCTGTAGACTATACTACCTGCAGAATAAGAGTATATTAAGTTTATATCGTATGTATGCAACACCCAGAAGGACTTGAGAAAGGCGCAGCTTTTATTATACCGATCGATTAGAAATTATTTCTAGAACCGATCTAAGCTAGTTTATCCGTCTCCCTGTCTAGTTTTTTTTATCTTCAAGATATAAGCCGCAATTTTTGAGATATTTTGGTAAAGTTTGGTACACTCAAGTGAAGGGAATGTATATCGAGGAAAAAAATATGCAATTAATTATTCAAAGAACAATTATCTCTCATGTATGATTTGAACTATTACATCCTATAATAGTCATGTCAGAGTATATTAACTGGCTTTATGACCGGTCATAATCATAAGATAAATCAATACCATTTCTTCTCACAATTATTGTAATTTTTTTCAAATTGTATTGCAACTTAGTGGACACTCCCTATTGCGACCTATAATGATCTATTGTACTCATTGTAAAGTTTTCATACAACGCAGTGATGTCAAGCCATGAAAAAAAAAGCTTGCGCTTAAGTCAACTTTATTGCGTCTGTGCGTCCTTCCATCTAATGTTCTTTCATGTATTTGTTTTGCTCAACATATAAGTCGAATTTTTCGAGATATATTCATGAAATTTATTTTTACACTCATTTTTTTCGCTAACAATGCTAAAAATGGGTTACATTTGATCATCGTTACAACCATTCACACGTATTTTCACACATAAGCGCTTGACGAAGACGGCGGCGGTGTCTGTCTTATTCGACTATAGCTTGTTTTTCAAAAGATAAGACAGCTACTAAATAATATTTAAAATTTGCTAACATTCTTTGCCTGGGATCAACCACAACGCAATTTGCTCTATAAACATGTTTTCGCTATAATCTCTTGCGATTCATTTTTCAAACTAAGTGCTTTTAAAATTATTTATTATTTTACTAAGAA